CTGGTTTCTCATGTGAAACTCTGGTTTCTCATGTGAAACTCTGTTTTCTCATGTGAAACTCTGGTTTTTCATGTGAAACTCTGTATTCTCATGTGAAACTCTGGTTTTTCATGTGAAACTCTGGCTTTTCATGTGAAACTCTCTGGTTTCTCATGTGAAACGCTGGTTTTTCATGTGAAACTCTGGTTTTTCATGTGCAACTCTGGTTTTTCATGTGAAACGCTGGTTTCTCATGTGAAACTCTCTGGTTTCTCAAGTGAAACTCTGGTTTCTCAAGTGAAACTCTGGTTTTTCATGTGAAACTCTGGTTTTTCATGTGAAACTCTGTTTTCTCATGTGAAACTCTGGTTTTTCATGTGAAACTCTGTATTCTCATGTGAAACTCTGGTTTTTCATGTGAAACTCTGGCTTTTCATGTGAAACTCTCTGGTTTCTCATGTGAAACGCTGGTTTTTCATGAGAAACTCTGGTTTTTCATGTGCAACTCTGGTTTTTCATGTGAAACTCTGGCTTTTCATGTGAAACTCTGGTTTTTCATGTGAAACTCTGGCTTTTCATGTGAAACTCTGTATTCTCATGTGAAACGCTGGTTTTTCATGAGAAACTCTGGTTTTTCATGTGCAACTCTGGTTTTTCATGTGAAACTCTGGTTTTTCATGTGAAACTCTGGTTTCTCATGTGAAACTCTGGTTTTTCATGTGAAACTCTGGTTTTTCATGTGAAACTCTGGTTTCTCATGTGAAACTCTCTGGTTTCTCATGTGAAACGCTGGTTTCTCATGTGAAACTCTCTGGTTTCTCAAGTGAAACTCTGGTTTTTCATGTGAAACTTTGTTTTTTTTCATGTGAAACGCTGGTTTTTCATGTGAAACTCTGGTTTTTCATGTGCAACTCTAGTTTTTTCATGTGAAACTGTTTTTTCATGTGAAACTCTGGTTTTTTTGTGTGAAACTCTGGTTTTTTCATGTGAAACTCTGGTTTCTCATGTGAAACTCTGGTATGAGTGACACTGAACTGCAGTGATTCTAAAGGAGCTGTCTGTTACCTGGACTCAGCTGAGGCCTGAACGTTTCATTTCCTCTCCCTGGGGGAGGGGGAGGGGGTACGCTCAGCTTACAGCTGCTGAACAGATTTCCTGGACTTATCAGCCCACAGAGCCAGAGAGACGGCTGCAGAGAGGAGGAGGAGGAGAAAGAAAAACATCTCATATGTGAAAAGGTAAAAGAACAGAGGATCTACCAGCTAGGCTGCGCCGCCATCCTCTCCATGTAGTCCTTGACCAGGTCCAGGGCTCCGGCCCTGTGGGGGTACAGCAGGCAGAACATGGCCAGGACCCCCAAGTTGTTCCCGTAGACCTCGTTCCAGCGGGCGCTGAACTCCGCAGGGCTCCAGGGGGGCAGGTACTCCTCGGGGTGCTCCAGCATGGCCTCCCCCGCCTCCCGGATCCTCCGGGCCATGTCTCGGTGAGTCCCGGCYGCGGCGTACTGCAGCTCCTCCACGTCCCCCCGGCCAAAGTACAGCATGGGGTGACCCTCATAGTTACCCCCCATGAAGGGGATCCCTCCGCTGGGGTCCGCCTCTGCTGCCGGCGCTGGAGTGAGCAGGGGCCACAGCAGACTTAGGAAGAAGACTGTGGGGGCCCCACGAGTGTGGGTTCTCATGGTYTCATCAGAACCTGGACTGTGGCACTGCCGGCACAGCTCAGCTGAGAGGGAGAAAAGAGGATTAGGGAAAGCCAGTCCACATTCTGCACAAAAGCCCCRCATTCCTGGACTAATGAGATCCAGCTGCAGGCTGGCCATACTGGTCCGGGTCTTTACTGAGCCGGGACCACAGCTGGAAGCTGCTCAGTCTGCATGCTAACTGGTAGAACGAGCTAACTGGTAGAAYTATCTGTCAAATTACAGCCACGACTCTGAGCGCTGACGATAAAACACCTTTACTAACCAAAAMAATCACAACAACAGCTAAAGTTTGAAAATCAAAGCTAAGAATAGCAGAAGCTAAGAGCAACAACTTGTCAAACAGAAACTAAAGTTAGCCAAAYAAAGGCTAAAACTAGCAGAATCTAAAGTGAAAATAGGTCAAACTGAAGCTAAAGTTAGCCAAACCAAAGCTAACCTTAATAGAAACTAAGAGCTAAAGGTCCAACAGAAGCTAAAGCTAGTCAAATAAAAACCAAGGTTAGCAGATGCTAAGAGCTAAAAGTCAAACAGAAGCTAATGTTAGTTAAATAAAAGCTAAAACTAGCAGAAGCTAAAGTGAAAATAGGTCAAACTGAAGCTAAAGTTAGTCAAATAAAAACCAAGGTTAGCAGATGCTAAGAGCTAAAAGTCAAACAGAAGCTAATGTTAGTTAAATAAAAGCTAAAACTAGCAGAAGCTAAAGTGAAAATAGGTCAAACTGAAGCTAAAGGTAGCCAAATAAAAGCTAAAACTAGCAGAAGCTAAAGTGA